GGAGATGCAACCCTTTTCTCCTTATGCTTTTACTTTTAGTTAGATGATGCTGGGGGGAGGAACGTGCACGAGCGTTTAGCGAGACATAGCAACACTGGACCTAGCGTGAGAATCAAGGTTATTGAAATAAGAATTGGCGGGCTGGAGAACAGGAGGGAGAGCCTGCGTTTCAAACTGATTGGGGCATGTGATTTATGACTCTGAACTGGAGGAGGGAATTGTGCTTGGATACGATGTGCTCAAGGGGAGGGGGAATTCAGTTTTTGGCTTATGCTACGCTTCTCAAATAAAGATTCTTTAAGGTGAACAATGCCTCGAAGTTCTTTGAAGAGTTTCATCTGTCGGAACCAGGACACCTTCTTCTCTCTCTCCTTCCTTTCCTTCCTCTCTCTCCTTCCTTCCTTTCTCTCTCTCTTTGGCAAACAGTAATAAATCCTCTGCAATGTTTCCCACCTTTTAAAATCTCTGAGAAAGCTGCTTATGCCTTATCTCCCATTGAGGCTCAGCAGGCTTCCCTGGGGAAGGGAGAAATTACACAAACGGCACACACAAACACACGGCACAAACTGGTTCCCTGCCAGCAGAGGCATTTTTCCTGAATTTCCCAGCATGTGTTTGTTCCTCTGGGTTTTGGGACCTCCTCCGTATATCCTGCTTTTATTACTTTATAGGCAACTCAAGGTGAGGGACGCACCTAATATTCCTTCGTCCTCTTCCCCACGACAACCCTGTGTGAGGTGGGTTGGCCTGAGAGAGAGGGACTGACCCAAAGTCACCCAGCTGGGTTTGTGTCTAAGGCAGGACTAGAACTCACCGTCTCCTGGTGATTGGCCCAAAGTCTCCCAGCCGGCTGTCATGCCTAAGGCAGACGTTCTCCCGGTTTCTAGGGCCAGTCATAAGTACCCCTTAATCTCTCAAATAAGCCCCTCCCCATTCCTTACACAGGGGAAGGGAGGAAGGAGGGGAGGAGCGCGTTCCGTTGCTACAATCTTATATTAAAAGTAGCCTCCACATGCACGACTTTCTTTTCCTACTGTGGTCCTACCTCGAAGGGCCGACCATATCCCTGTCCAGAAAGGAACAAAGAGAAGAAAAGAAAAAAAAACCACAAGAGGCACAACAGCTGGGAACTTGGCTCCACTTACGCTTGAGAAGGATGGAGGGCTGGGGCGGCCGAGGTGGTGGCTCTCCTGTAAGAAGAGAGAGAGGGAGGGAGAGAGGGAGGGAGGGGGAGAGAGGGAGGGAGAGAGAGAGGG